ACAATAGTTATATGCCGACTGATTATCAATAAACTCCTAGGTCGCAATTACTCGCCTTAACATTAAAAAAAAAAAAATATATATAGCTAAGTATTATTCTTAAACTATATTATTGTTGCTATATATACAGTATTAACAATATTTAATATGATATTATTCTTTTATTTTCTGTTATTAGTTAAATTAATTTTTGTTAATTATTAATTACAGAAAGAAATAAAAGAAAAATCTTTAAGGATAGTTTAATTAATAAAAACAAGTATATATAATGAAATTTTAAAACAAGGTTTTAGAAATAAAAAGATTTATATTAGTATTAAATATAAAAGTAGTATTATTAAGATTTGAAGGTTGAAAGTTAGGTAAGTAAATGTTGATTTTCTTTTTAGTAAAAGTAAAGATTTCTCATATTGATTTTTATTTATATTGTTTAATATTATGAGTTTGCCAAATAGAAGAATTAAATTATTTAAATAAAGAATTAGATAGAGAAATGAAAAAATGTTAGTTAGTTTTTTTAGAATTAGTTGCAGTTATGTATATTGGTTAAGAGTTATTGTTCTCTGTATAAGTAAAAAAATTGTATTGTATATGCTAATGTTTAGATAGAGGTTTTGTATATAAAGAATTTGTAATATTGTATTTAGAGAAATTTTTAGAAGGTTTAATAAATTTAGAGCATAAGTAATCTTATTAATAAGAATATCTTTAGGGTTATAGAGATAAAGTAAATATTAAAGTAAATATTTAGTTTTTTTTATATTGATTATAATATAAGTAATTTGGAGTTAAATAAAGAAGGAAATAATAGATATTTAAATTGAATATTATTAATAGATTGTTAAAAAGTATTTTGTTTTTGATAGAATATAATTTGAGATTAAAGAGGGTATGATAACCTAGTGAAGTAGATAGGTTGTCAACTTTCAAGTGGCAGGTCTAGAGTTCAAATCCTAGTAACAGTGAAAATTTGCAATTCTTTTTATATTATGACTAACTGTCTTCTGTGATTGGTTGGGATAAGATACCTGTAACCTATGTTATATTAGCATGACTAGAAGGTCTAGGCACTTGTACAATGTTATATGAGAGAACACAAACTGGTACCAGACAGTATGAACACAAGATAAGTTCTTAGACTATATAAATCACAGGAACCAGGTAGGAAGACAGAAGCCCATTTGGAAGACCTAAGTAGAAAGATAACCTGAACCTTTGACAATGCTACTATAAAGACTAGACTTATGAAACAGAGCTAGAACTTGTGAAATCAGGCAAATGTACCAGTCTTTAAAAAGGGACCAAATAAACCAACCAGGCCACCAAAATTTTCAGGTTTTAGAAAAAAAGAATACATAGTAGCAAATATGTAAACCAAAGGTACAGTCTTGCCCTACCTTTCTGGGCTATCTGGAATGACAGCTTGATAGAACTTGAATTAAATACCAAAGTAATAAAAATATGTTGTAAAGTCAGTACTGAGATTGGAATGAAGTCTACAAAGGCATAGTGGTTTAATGATATGTCTTGATTATCAGTGTTGGTCTCAGTCATAGTGATACCAGATCAACTGTAAGAATAAGATACAGAAGATTATGAAAGGTTTAATACAAGATCAAAGATTCCCTATATGAATGAATTGCTTTAAAGACTTGATAGCTATATCATATTTTTACTAATATCGGCCAAAGTCATTGGTAGACAGAGGTAGGTAGGTGAATACAGAAACAGAATAGTTAAATAAAGAACCTACAAGTAGGTTTCAGGTATAGCAACTAGTATAGAACCTTTGGGCAGACTACTTAAATTAGACAATGACTAAAGTTGTATGAGGGATTAATTGTATATATTCTCTATAATTGCCTCCTGTAGTTGTAATACAACTATTAGCCAAATATACTATCAATAAAATCCTGGATCGCAAGTACTTATCTTAATATTTAAAAAAAAATAATAATAATAATTTAAGATTAAAATTTTAAAAATTGATAATTTTAGTTAGCAATAGAATATTTATAATAGGAAAATTTCATAATAATTTTAGTTGAAAAAGTTTGTTAAATATTTAAATTAAAATTAAGTTCTTATAGAATTTATATAATTTATATCTGATTAATATTTTTTTTTTTGATATTAAATTAGTCACTTTTGGGTCTAGGGTTTTATTTAGTAAATTGGATATAGAAACTCGTGACTAAAGTCTCAAAGAAGTCACCTTACATTAGAGAGTATAACTAGTCACACATACACTTTTGATGTTTAATTTAAATAGTTCACCAATGGTTCTACACTAGCTGCTATATCTACAATCCAACTAGGGGCATTGCCTATTTAAACCCTCTGTGCTGCAATCCTTACTGTATTACTAGATCATCTCTGATACAGCCGTCAGTCAAGAAGGTCTAAAAACTTTTACTCATTTCTCTTAGAACCCTATATCTTATTTCATGCAGTATATTCTCAGAAACATTGTTACTAGAGTCTTTCATGTTCCATATACAGCTGACCTAGTTTTATGTAATATGCTATAGTTACCCAACACTTGCAGTTACAGAAGTTACCTGTTTAACTGCTATATTACACTATTTCTACTCTTGTAAAATTCATCCAAATCCTGATATCTATTATTCTGACTTCTTCTCTTTATCTCTCTACTATTTAACTCAGAATCCGATAGACTCTCCAGACTCCCAATCCAGATAACCTGATATGGTATACCTTAGTATCCTTTTTCTTTGACAATTCTGGCAATCTAGTTGGTCATATGCTTCTCTATACATCTTTCCATCTGGTTGCATGTCTGTTTATTTATCTGATTAATATTTAATTCTAAGTAAAAAAGATAGATAAATAGAAATGTTCAAGATTAAGTTTAAGTTTGGTTTTGTTAACATTCTATTTGATAGAATGTCAACTATATTATATAAAATATTATTTGAATATGATTTAATTTTGTATATAATATAATTTATATTTTTATGTTTAATAAAAAATTTAAGATATATATAATGTCTCAATTATTTTATAATGTATAAATTATAGTTATAGAATATAAAATTGGTAAGAATTTGAATAGTTAATAGATTGTTAAGGTGGATGTAAATTTGATAATTAGTAGGTAAAATAAAGAATAAGAAAATAAGTACTGCTAATTCTATATGTATAAAATTTAATATATGAATTATAAAAACATTAAATTTAATATCATTTTTAAAAAACCAAAAAATACTAGTAAATATATTATCTGTTTGTAAATTTAATATTAAGACATCTGTATAGAAGTATAAATTGTTTAAATTTAAAAATAATATTTTTGATGTAAATTTATGAGTTGGTTTTGATATGTAAAGTCTAATATTGCATTTTGAATTAAAAGAATTTTTAAGAAGAGTAGTAAAAAAAATAATAATAATTATGAAACAGATTTATATAACTCTGCATAAATGTTTTGAATCAAAATGTTTAAATAAGTAATCTCTTAATAAATTACAGATATAACAATTAATGTAAAACCCTTAAACAAACTACTTAAATAGATGACCAAAAGTTGCATGTATAACATACTCACTTTGTACAAGTTATATGTATGTATAATTGAAAACACAATAAAGGTAATAACCGCCATTAACAAAAAAAATTTTAAACTAATGAAATTATAATCTAATGTAATTGTAATACAGGTCATCTTCATTAATATCAATCCCGTTAATATCAACCTAAGCCACATGGCGAATTTTTATATATCAAAATTCCCTCATATATGTCAACTTTAATATGCTTTCTCATTAATATCATCAATTCAAATAGGTCGATATCAACAAGGAGACCTGTATAATCATTCAAATAATTATAATAAATAATGATAGCTAATATAATATGTTTTATCATCATTATATATCTACATGTTTTTGATAATTAATGTATGTTTATGTTCATTTTTTCATGGAAAATCAAAAATGAATCATCATTGAATAGAGCAGGGAAACCTCTTTATATAACCTAATGTAATTACACAATTATTGATCACAAAATAGAAAATTGTAATAAAGATCTTTAGTACTTATAAAGCTGTAATACGTATTACGCCATAATCACCATGCAATTATTGACAAAAAAGCGAAAGAAAACTAAAGAAATTAATTACCAAGCCTTAATTTGCCAATCGGAAGTATCTATTATTGATCATCCAATTAGTGAATTTTAATTCAGGGCACGTGAATTACCAACACTTAAAGAATATTGTTTAATGTGTCAAAAATGACACTACTTATTTCATGTGATAGTTGGAACCGGTTTTTTGGGTCTGAACTATCCCTAATTGTATGTTGTTTGGCAAAATTGTTAATCAGAAGTGTGATCTCTAATTTTATATATTAGAATATAAATATTATTTGATAATAATATACACAAGATTTTATTTAAAGAGTCATGATTCTAAATAAGAATCGAGTTATAAATTACTGGATAACGCCAATATCATATACTTATTTTTAATTGGTTAACATTAATTAATTACGCGTGCGTATTTATTGGTTCATTCCAGTAAGATAATTCTTCTGGTGAAACTTTTCATTGGGCCCATTGGAACATAAAAGATCTAGAAGTCCAGTGGAGTCCAAACTCCAGCCAACAATATTGTCCTATGTGTTTATTACAGGCTGACTACGTTTTTGACTACCGTTCACTAAAGGATGAACATCTTGCTCTAATGGTATAAATTATTAGTGTCTGTATTCTGCAAGTCAAGTAGGTGAAATAATAATTTATTAAATCATCAAAGGATAAGAACTTTAACTCACCAAGATTCCATACCACATCTTTTAATTCAAGATTCTGTTGATCAAGTCCATCCTAAATTTTAATAATATTCATAATGACTGAGAATAAAAAAACATTATAACATCACTAACTAAAAATACATCCAATAATCATCATAGTTACATATAACTTCCGAACTTCACTCCTCAATTCTTTTACTTGATCTGTAGTGGCAGCACTTTCTTGAAGAGCTTTTAGTTCGTCCTCAACTCTTTCAATTTTTTGCGCATAATCACGCACCTAGGATCAATTCAAGATATAAATTAATTAATTCGCAATAAATAAATATGTAAATATATATATAAAATAATAATGATTAAAAATAGGAGAACCTTGCTTGTAGATTTCTGTAATTCTTCAACTGAACTTAATAAAAGATTCGAAGCGGTATGATACTCGTCTAGAAGATAATAGTATCCCGATCCGCCCGCAATCGACAAACCTAATAAAAATCCAATGAGGCTACACTCAAACCGAACCCAACTAACGATTAATCATCGGCAACCAAAGGAATGATAATAATCAATATTTGTTTACACAAGCCCAGTCAACAAAACACAAAAAAGTTTTCTCACATCATAAAAAATGATATCCAAATGTTGAATGCTCAAAGTGGTGACACATGCCTTCCATAACACCAGAAAAAGTGAGACAGCCAAGTAGCTGAATACTTTCTTATATTGACACTCACCCCCCTCGGAACGCGCCGATCCGTTTTTTTTCAGGAGGCTGTACATACAATGAATCACCTTGGGCTGCACGATTTATTGTGCTGGTCGTAAAGGCTCTAATTGGAATTTGTTGCGAAAGAGTCGAAAGAGTCGACAAACGATGATAACTTGACTGTGCTCGGGCAAAAACCTGCATACTTGTACGCAAGCATCTAAATAGATAATTGGCATTTTATAATTCGATCAATTTTAGCAATCACCTGACAACAATTATCGTTATGATAACGATAATTTTTTTTTTTTTTTACATCAGTTCGTGTTCCCTTAACTAAGTCACGCAAAAATCGGACCTTTCCGATCAAAACACTTAGATCGGAGTATTTCAGGTATTCTTAATGAGTAAATCCAGCGTTTAGGGATGTTAATCGACTGTATATCGATATGAATTATGTTCGAACGTCAATTATAATTATTGCACGGGTCTTATGTAACTTATTGGCACGGGATTGTACGTCAGACATCGTGCAATAACTATAACGTATCCATTGGCTTCAATCATATTTATATAATATTAATATATTCTAATTTATATAATCACTAATAACTTTTGATCCACTGATCCATTTTGAATCAAAATGTCATCTCATCAAGATGAACATTTTGATTCAAAACAGATCAGTGGATCAAAAGTTATCAATACTTTTATAAATTAAAATATATAACATATAATATATATATTATATAATTTATACATAGTACTTATAGTATCTTGTTGAACTTTATTGACTCTATTGACAAATTATTCTCAATAGGCCAATGTCAATGAAGGTTTACTCCATTGGACCCAATGGATAAATGTGCCAATCCTGCCTATATGTGATTGATCCTATTTATTAAAAGAGTTACCTATTTTTGTTTATAATGTATAATTAGGCTAAGTATAGTTTTTTACATAATAATGCAAATTAAATCTAATATAATAAAAGTTCTTTAACAAATTCAAATATATTTTTAAAGTAATAATAATGGTTTTGCATAAATCAATAAATTCATATAAATAACAATAAATTTAGTAATTTATTAATAAAAACAATAACTAAGTTATTTATCTAATTTGAAGAATATTATTAAAAAACAAAAAAAATAATTTCATAGTGAAATTATGATTATATCATGATAATAATGCAAAATATAAACAAATCACTCTCCCTACTAATCACTTATACACAAAACTGTAGAAAAATACTTTAGAAGTTTGCTAAAAAACGGCTGTCAAAATCAACCTTACAGGCTTAAGAAAAAAGATAGAGCTTGTAGAAAAATATATAACAAGAGGTAAAAGTAGAAAATTAGAAAGCTTGTAGAAAAGATAGAAAAAGAAATATATCGGTCAACATTTGGAAAAGTGAAATTTGGTAAATTCTCTGTAACTTGAAAACATCGATCTATAGATCACAGCAATACGTAAATAGATAAACAAACAAACATGTGTATTAACAGACATACAAACAAATTCAATTTAGATAGTAATAGGCATAAGACATAGAAAGTGCTAGAACAAATAGTAAATAGGAACCACTAATAATTAAGCAAAATATGAGTAGCACACAAAATCAGAAAGAAAGCCTAATAACAACTTATATTAAAAAAGAATATTGGGTAGCAAATGGCATACACAACAAGGTGTTTTTTAATTAAGCGAATAAAATCATTCTAACACCAGACAAAGAAGATGAAATTGTGGCTATGTTAACAGAACAAGACACATTAGAGGTTGCCTTGCTGCATATAACAAGAGAAATAATCAAGAAAACAGAAGAAGAACAGTCAGATAAGAAAATCAATATTATGAAACAAGACAAGAATGTTATTATAATAGAAGAACCTATAATAAAATAAACACAAGACAAACAGGAAGAGGTACATCAACAGTCAATGGAAATAAACAGAACCAAGAAGAAAAGGTAAGTCTGACAAACAATAATCAAGAAAAAGAAATTTTGTTTATACAAGAAAGAGACACAGAAGTACAAAAAGAAGAGCAAGAACAAGAAGCCATTGAAATAAAAGTTGAAAAAGAAATTGATATAATCAGAGAACTCCTAGAAGAAAGTATATAGGCCCTAAACAAAAGGAACTGTAACCAAAACAACAGTTTGCTTATGAATATACTAGCATACAATGTACCAGGAAAAACAAAAGAAGAGCATATAAAATTTATTAGATGGTCATTAAGAAACAATGCACATGTTAAAGATGTTAGAGAAGTTTTCAAAAGAAGAAACTTATGGATAGAAGTAGATTTTGACTGCAAATATAACAGAAATGCAGTAATACAAAAAATTAGCAAAAAAGACAGTAACTGGTACAGAATGATACCTGAAGAAAAAGAAGGTAGCATGAAGAATCAGGCACAACACAGTAAGAAATATCAAAAGAAAAGTAACAGCAAAATGAGAACTAAAGAAGAAAAACAGAAATGGAAAGAGAATGAAACCAAAACAAATAAAAACCAGTATGAAATAAATGAAGAATCTGAAGACAAGAATTATCTGATGATTTGGGACTTACCAACAAATATAAACAAAAAAGAGTTAGAATACATCTGTAGAAGATTCAGAAAAGCCCATATAGTAAGAATTAAAATATCAAAATATAAGGCCTTAACAGTAGTTAAAACAGAAGAAATATATGAAGACATTCCTTGGATTATACTAGTGAATAGTAACAAACTGGTATGAGTGACTAAAAGAATTGAAGATCATGAAGCTAGAGAAAGACAAAAAAATTATATAGCAAAATTAACAGAATTACCTAGAAGTGTCTCAGAAGTTCTATTACTATGAAGTTTAAAGAACAAGTAAGTAAAGTTAGTTCATATACCTCAAAATAGAAATGGAAACCAAAGAAGAACAGCAACAATCATGTTTGCAACAAAAGAGGATATGAAAACAGCCTAATCGAAACCATTTATGTATAATAATTTTCGACTATATTGGATAAAAGAAGAAAGAAGAGAAATAGAACAAACAAAAGACCTTAAAAGAGAAAGAGGAAAAAGCTAGAAAAGGTTTAGCCAAACCTCCGATACAGAAGAGAGTAACAGCCAAAAGGAAGAACAAGAATTCAAGCTAAATACAAACAAAAAAAGGAGAGAATAGAATAAAAGTATAGAAAATCAAGTAACAGCAAGCAGAAGTAGTATACAAGATCAAAATACAAAAAATAAAACAAGATATACAAATCTACTTAAAAAAGAAGAAAAACTATATAGAAGAGAAACAGCAGAACTCAAAACTCAGACACAAGAAGAAGCTATACATACAAATGATATCTTAAATCAAATTTTAGAAAGACTTGAAAGACTAGAAGAGGTAAGAAGTACAACATAGAACAGCCTAGCCTACTGCTCCTAAGGGCATCCTAGTTGAATATAGGAGCATAGACCAGGATATTGAAGAGTTTCTATATAAAGAAAGAAGAATATTTGAAGAAGACAATGTAGAAGTATCTTCTGGCTATAGGGAAAACATAAAGACAAAAAGGGAAGAACAAGTAGAAGTCACAGAAACAAGAAGTGAGTGACTAAAAGAAAAATGAAAACAAAGGAGGAAAGAAATAAAAAAAGCATGTCACAATATTAATGGACTTAAAACCAAAAGATGGAAACTAGAAAACCTAATGAAATAGGCAGAAGAAGAAGAAATTATAATACTTGGGATCACAGAAATGAATCTTACAGAAAGAGAAGGAAAATTTCTAACATATATAGCAAATAAGAGTTATGTTAGGTTTTGGTCAAGTGCAACAAAAGACAAGAAAAAGAGATCTGGTATAGGTATCTTAGTTAATGAACAATGGGAAAAGCATGTGGGTACAGTTAAGAAGATAAATGAATATTTGATAGAACTTATACTATATTTCAAGCAATTGGAATTAGTAGTATTAGGAGTTTACATATCACCAAGTGACAAGACAATTGGAAAAAAGGTTCAACAGAAAATAGTAGAAATAGTCATGAAAAAGAAAAAACATATACAAATAGTAATTCTAAGTGATTTTAATCATACTGCATATAACATATTGGACAGACAACATCCACAAACAGCAAGTTTCAAAAGATTACCCATCTTTAATTGGATAAAGAAGCAAGATTTCAGTAATACCTTCAGAGACATACATCTGACATGCCAAGAGTATACATGGTTAAATGGAGAAGCTGTAACAAGAATTGACTATATATGGGTATCAGAAGAATTGGCCTCAGGTCTACAGAAGGCAGAAATTGAAGAAGTGGAAGAAATTACTGAAAGTGATCACAAGATAGTTAAAGCAGAGATATAGATTAAACATATAATAGCAAAGAACAGCAAGACTGAGATCAAAAGAAAAAGACAGTCAAGAACAGTATATTTATATGATCAGACAAAAGAAAAAGACTAGAAAGAGTATATACAAGAGTTGCAAAAACGATTAGAATTCAAAGAAATGCTAAAAAGAATACAAAGAAAAGAACAAAAAGAGAAAGGAAAAACAGACAGAATAAATAGCATATGGGACATAATATAAAAAGCAATTATTATAGCAGCAAGTAAGCATCTACCAAAGAAGAAAATATATAACATAGCAACAAATAGAAGAAACAGTCAAAGGAAACAATGTCTAGAGAAGAATATTGTAAAGCTACAAAGATTAATCAAATATGCAAAGACAAGAGAAGGCCAAGAAGTAACTGAAGAAGAAAGAATTGAAACAAATGAGAAGCTATGAACATTAAAAGAAAAAGAAGGTGTGAAGCTACCAAAACTACATAAATGATAATCAAATATTTGGATAGAAGATATGAAAGATTGGCAGAAACTGCTACAAGAGATAAAGAAGAAAGAATGAGAACAAAGTCAAAGAAAGCAGATAGAAGAGAATATAGATAAGAGATACGAAATGATTAAAACAGACCAAGGAAAAATGCTAGCTAGTCTGTTAAACAAGCCTTATGAAAAGATAATGCTTGACAGATTTATCGAATAAGAAGAAGAAGTAACAAATTTGATAGCAAAGCCAGATTTAGTTAAGAGAGGTGTAACAGAACATTACAAGAAACAATTTAGAAAGAGAAACACGAAACTAGAAGAAATGTCAGAAATATAAAAAGAAATATACAAGCTACAAAAGCATATCAAAGAGGAATAGTATATG